GACTCGAAGGGCAAGAAGTTTGCACGTCTGTCCCAGTTGAGCTTGTAAGCATGAGTGCAGTACCTGGAAAGTTCTGACAGGGCGTGGGGTCACTCCTGAGAAAGGAACCTCTCCCTCGAGTGACTCCCAGTGACGGGTCGAGGTGTGGCCTCCTGAGGGCATCACCCACAGTCAGAGGTGACACTTCTCTTAAAGGGCACACAGATAAGGAACTGGGTAGACTCCCTAGGGTCAAAGGAGCCATCACGTGGACAACCTGCAATCGAAGGCTGTTGCCCCTCACTGGACAGGATGCAGGCTTGTTGTGTCTCTGTGTGAGGCAGTGGGCCCGTTTCCTCAAAGGCTTAGAGTCTAAGATTCTTGAACAGCAAGACGGGAAGGAGACTGGATCCTGCCCTCTGAGCAGCTTGCAGAGGACGATCGATGGCGGTGTAATGTGCGGGGTTCCACAAAGTTCGTGGGGAAACGGATTTCAGATCTACTGAGGTTTCCCACTCCCGTCGTGAGTGAAGCCCCTTGTCTCCATGAACCAGCATAGAGGGTGTAAGCAGCACTTTGGAACTGAGGTCCCAGCACCTGGGAGCGCCCCTCCGCCTCCCTTGGAGAAAAACTCTGAGCCTTGCACTGCGCAGAGCACCAACCAGCTTGCTGTGCTCTGTGGGCTTAGCTGCGACTCGGACGTGGCCCACCCCTGGGGAATCACTCAGAATGTGCCTTTGAGAAGGCCACTTAATTTGAAGGCCTCCTTCAGATCAGACCATGAGTTTTGACTTAGTTTTCTGCAAGTGCAAGATAGGGGCAGGGAGACGGCCATTGTTGGGGTCAATGCCCACAGTCCATGTAGGGCTTCTCCCCCAGTTTCATAAAATACATCTCAGCCCCCACCCACCCCTGGCAATTCAACCCTTTGTCCTGCAGCACATCATCCAGATTGAAACATGGGCATGTTCTTCTGCAGCACCCCCAGGGGGCAGCGTCACCCACTTTGGCAAACTGTCCGGCCTGATCCATGGAGACCAGACCCGGAGAATACATGGCACCTCATACTGGGAGCCCTGGGAGGGTGGCAAAGGTTAGAGTTTCTGGGACCAGGTCCGAGAGCATGTGGGAGAGGGCTGCCTGCCAGCGAGTTGGTCAGTGTGCAGCCTGTGCCATTCCCACCCTGAGGGCTGT